AGGCCCCCCCCACGGCTATTCCCTCTCCTCAGGGACAACCGCAGCCCCTTGCCTCTGCCTGAGGTCTATTGCCGTACTAGCCTATGACCGGGCTCACTATGCCTGCCCCGGGCTTCTCAATACGGCGCTCCCCCTCTTTGGGGCTCGCCGTGCCCACCTTGGGCTTCTCAATAGTCCCCCCCCCTTTCTCGGGGACTCGTCAGGCCCACGCTGGGCTCCTCTAGAGTGCGCTCCCCCTTTCTGGGGCTCGCCACGCCCACACTAGGGTTTCCTAGCAGTGCCCCCTTCTGGGGCTCGTCGTGCCCGCGCTGGGGCCTCTCAAAGCTGCCCCTCTCCGGGGCTGGGGGCTACGTACCCCGCACACAACCCGGGGTCTATGTTCCCCGCCCGCAACCCCCTGGTTGCGCTCATCACCGCCAGCTGCGCCTTCACTGGCGCCCTTATTGGCGCCGGGGTTCTCACACTCCGTGAGCCCCCTATGAGAATAGTGCGCCCTCTTGGCGTCAGGGCCCCCACACCTCTGGGGTCCCTATGAGGCCTCCTCCAACCCCTACAGCCTCACCCAAACCTCCGGTATAGTCTCACAACCAAACATAAACTCAAGCCTCCTGGCTATAACTCAACACGCACTATGGCTATAACAACATTGCTCCATGTCACAGGTACTTGCTGTTAGGCCTCTCTCCGCATCCTAACTGTAGGAGCTCCTGCCCCTCTGGCTGCTGGCAGGGAACTGCCAGCCTGGCCTCAGCCCTGGGCTTTATGAGGGCCAGGCCCTGCCCCCTTCTGGCCCGCTGACTCAGATTAGTTGCCCTGGCAACCCGCAGTTGTGATTATGTTCTGCCAGGGCTCGCTCTCTCTCTCTCCCTGGCAGTTTCTACTCCCTAGGAGCAGGCACTGAGGTGCCCTGCGACAGCGAGGATGGGAAGATCTGGGCAGCCTCCACCCCTCCAAAAAAAAAAATCCTGCTCAGGCATATGCATCGAAGGTCTTGGTGGCTCTCACACATACACCATGATCCAGGAGGATCGATGGTTGCCACCACCATTGATTTTGTATGCTGCCCTTCCCAACAGAATCTCAGGGCAGCTTATGAAAGATCAGAGTAACTTGCAAAACAGGAAAATTGCTTGTAGAACAGGAGAAATTGTAGAACAGAAACCCACTAAACAATGTCCGAGACTGGCTTTGTTTACTAAATGCCTACTCGGATAGGAAAGTCTTACAGTGCTTCTGAAAGATGCCTGGGCTTAGGCGATAGTGGGCCTGAAGAGGGAGGGAATTCCAGAGTCGAGGGGTAACTACTGAGAGTGACTTCTCACGTGTTTTTTTCCCAAGCAGACCTGGTACATTGAGGGTATTTGCAGGATGTTGCTCTCAGTTGGCCATAAAGATTGCACTGGGGCATAAGGGAGAAGGCAGTTCCTTAGGCCCGGATTATTTAGGGCCTTATAGGTCAAACAGGCATCTTGAATTGTGCTCGTAGAGCAGTAGCACAGACACTGGAGGATTGGAGTTAGATGGTCCCAACAGCCATCCCTGTTGTGTACCAGCTCCCTCTTCCAGGCTTCAAAAGCAGCCTCACACGAGCACGTTGCAGTAGTCTAATTCGGAGGTGACAGAACTGTAGATGGTGGTGGCCAGATCTGAATATGAAAGAAAGGAGCTGGTGAAGGGTACTTGTGGCCACTGCTGCCAAATGAAGATCCAGGTGCAGCAGAGGATCCAGGAGCACCACCCAGCTGTAAACCTGAATGACAAGGGGAGGTTGAACCCATCAGTGATACCATCATCCCCTCACTCTCATCTTGTCTGGATTCCATTTCGTTTGGTTCATCTGCATCTAGGGTGTTTATAGATATGCTCCGGGAGGTGTGGGGGGCGCTTAATTTATTAAGTTATTCTCAAGGGAGTCTTTAATGTTCTGGGACTCCATCCAACACAAGTAGAAAGGAAGGAGTCACAGAGTGAGTTGAAATGCAGAAAGGATCCCAAGAGAGAAATAAACTAGTATTTCCCGTTGGAAGACGAGAAAGAAGTCGATCTGCTTGCTTAGAACAAAGACAGGACCTAGGCATCAGAAAATATGAAGGAGCGTTGCATCTTCTCTTGGGATAAACAAGATGACCTCAGTGCTTTGGGCTCTACGATGACTACTTAATTCCAGAGGAGTTTATGGTTTTCTAGGTCAAAAATCAGCATCTTAGACTGGGACTTTCTCTGTGCTTTTCTTTTGCTTTTGCAGTTGCACTTTGCAGAGGTGCTGTAGCTGGAGCCTGTTTGTATAAAAGACAAGATGCTGGGCATGAATGGCCTTTGAGCTCTTGAGCTCAGACCTCTTGAGCTCTAAACAGTGGCTCTGGACCTTTGTTTTAGTCATGAGTCTAAAACAGTCTCAGCTTGTACATGGAGCAAGGGTTTTCTTTCCTAAAGGCATATTAGAAAGATTGTTTAAATTTTTTGGTGAATCAATGTCAAACAAAGAAAGAAAACCTAAATACCAAAAAAATGCAAAAGCCTACATGAAGCCTTCGTGAAAAAAATACAATTTGCTATATTCCTCGCTGATATACGTGACTTGATTTATAGTTGCATTTGATGTATTCCTTTTTGGCTCCCCTCCCTTTCTTGTGGGAAAACTTTTGGTTGTGCTAATAGATTTTCATCACA